ATCCAAGCTGTTCAGCCCGATCCAGAGAGAAATTCCCAAATGATTCGTCAACCCTGAATGAACACAAGCATTAAGGAGAAGATCAAATTCAGAAGCATCGTTTATGTAGATGGCAGAAGGTCAGCTCGCTTGTTACCTGAAATGAACGACTGTTCATGGAGCTCTACGATGCTGAGGAGGTCAGCTCCCTGCTGCTGGCAGCTCCTCCGGGCCTGAGACCAGGTCAGAGCTGCTTGTGAGTTCATCTGATACTGAACTCCAGTGACTGGGTCTGTGTTCCAGCCAGTCGATGCTAAAGAATACATAGGATTTACATCCAGTGACACTACATGGTCCTTTTTAACAGCAGACATGTATTTTTTGATGTAAACTATGTAGGAATTAGAGGTTGAAAAGTTATGTTGCACATACTTTTGGTTGCACAAAACCCCCACTTCTTCTCTTTGTCGTAATCTCTTGTTGTTGCACACCACATCTGTCCATCTGAGCGACCATCCTTTGTGCATTCAGCGTACCATTTCTCCTGGTACCTAAAGGGGAACTGACAAGGTCTTCCGAATGCGTTCCCCCCAATAGTGAAAACCTCTGAGGAGACAGATTTACAGATGGAAAGAATCATCACAGTTCGTAGGACATTTCTACCTTCATCTTTTGCTTTTATATAGCTTTGCTTTAATTGGACTTCCAGGCTAGTTTTTTACTTTCCCAGCAGATCCTTTTCAGAAATCTTGGAAAGTAAAAAAAAAAATCAAGAAAGTAGTCTTCATTCTGTTTGTCACTGAAAATAAAGTAAATTTACTATCAGATTGATTCTAAAAGACCTAATTAAATATTAAATACCTTTTAATTAATGTAGAGACATCTTAAAACATTTCCAGATTTGGAAAAACCGAAGGGTCCTCCAGTTTAGCAACCACTGCAGAAGCATAATTCAATTTGTTTATTGCAGACGCAAGACACCTACCTTGAAACCCCTTTGAACAAAGGTCCCCCTGAGAGCCAAAAATCCTCCAGCGACTCCACACCCCCGAGCCTTTATAGATCATTACATTTTTCTCTTTACGGTTGCCATAGTTTAGGTGCAGGTCCTGGTCTTTAAGACCAAAAAGGGTCTCGTTCTTGCATTGCCAGTGCTGAAGAACACTGCTCTCGTTGCACTCGAAGAGGAGAACCTTCACCCAGTCTTTAATCTCTGCGGCGCCCAGACACAATTTGAGGGACAGGCTGAGAAGGCGAGACTCAGAGGCCCAGCGAAACTGCTGCTCCTTGGCGTGGGGATCACATTGATCCAGAGTTACCGATGTGGCGCTCTCTGCTTTTATGCACTTGTTGTGGTCCTGATTGAAGATGAGGAAGATGCCATTGTCTGGAGAAGAACACAACCAAAGTAATGTACATCACCATTGGAGTAGGAATGTGCTTAAGACACTTACCTATGTCAGCAGAGATGGAGACAAGTTGCAGGAGACAAAGAACCAATGGAAGTTCTGACCTGGATAACATCCTCAGAGTGTTGTTTAGACTTAGTTTGAAGATATTTTTCAGTAATGAGAGTACGGGACTGGTGTGTGCAGAGGTGCACACCAGAGAGCGGTAATGACACAAAGCCATGGTGTTTCTCTCCTCTTAACTACAGTGATGGATATCCTGTCACATGGTTAGCTGTGGTTGGTTGGATGTCTACAACTTCCAAGAGCTTTCACTACACTTTTTGGGGAAGAGGAGGAACGACGATTTCACCTCCAAGTCATAAAAGTCAGCTAAGGGTGTTTGGTGGGGGGGAATCCAGAGAAACACAGAAATTTGAGGAGAAATTTCTAAATAACTTTATCGAAGCACTTTTTTCCAGGTTTAAAAATGTTATCAATACGTTATCTGAGATAAACCCAGAAAGCTTACATCATTCAACAAGAACTTTTGTTGTCTTAAAATGTAGCTGTGAGGAGATTAGACAGGATTTTTTTTCCAGGACCTGCTCTCAAAACGTGCACCGGGCTCCAGGTTAAGATTAAAATTATTTAAGTCAGTAGGCAGAGAGCTGGAGGAAATCCTGCTTCCTACTGGAGGAAGTGAGTGAAGACCTGACCACTGTCACATTACAGCTGCAGAAAAGCTCCATCTTTGACAAGATCTCCAAAATATATATATTTTTGGGCCTTCAACGCTTTTACATCACCCTGCATCCATGGTCTCTAGGGAATCGCTTTACTGGTGAAGAATAAAGGCACATTTAAAAACATTGATATTTATAAAGCTTTCAACCATCAACCTCTCATTGTTGAGCTTAAATGCTTTGCAGGATCCGTCTGTAAGAGCGGATGTTAGCCGATCTAGAAGGATTTCTGAGTCGCTGCTACTGAACCAGGTTTCTGCTAAAACTAATACCTCATTTTTAGAATGAAATGATGCATTTTAGACCTTAGACATTTGATTATTTTAAGTGTAAAATGCAGATTTTTTTAAATGTGGGGGTAAGCAGTTTGTTTGAATTAGTCATTTTTCAACTTAATAAAAAATATTACAGTACAGAGAAATTGCGTCTTCTGAAGAGTTTTCAGTGGGATGGGAATGTTCTAGAATGACAGGAAACTGTTGTTCCTGGGAGTAGTTTGGAAGAAATGGGATAAATTCCAGTATAACGGTTTTAGTAGAGGTAAAAAAATATATATATATATATCCACACAAAATTACATTTTCAAAAGAAAAGATTCTTTATTATATAGATATATTTTTTTTAGCAAAATAAACATATCATCAATAAAAATGAGCAGTGTTCTAATCAAGTTAACTTAGCAAAAATAAAAAAAAATATCTCACAAACAACATGGATTTATTATTTTACATATTCACTGAACTTTATAATGGTAGAATAAATGTGCAATTAATGTTAAAGTGACATCACAGGTTTATTCTCAAAGTGCCATTTCTGTTGAGGGTATTTAAAGATAACATTTGTACATAAACATAATGGAAAGTAACGCAAATGTCATTTAACACAAAAGTTAAATTAGCTAAGAGCTCCTAGTCGGCTTGGGAAAATAATGTTATGTGTTTAAAGATCTTGTAGTTTTTTTTTCTTTTGCAAATTCAAATTTGGTTATATTTCACCGGAAAGCTTTAGTAGTAGTAAGTTAGATCTAAAATGCTTTAATTATTTTGAAAATGAATGTTGGAAATTCTAGGCCTGTTTAAATTGTTTTCATTTATTAATTTTGTAAATTTAAAAATAAAAACACAATCAGAATTTGACATTTTATCATTTTAGGAGGATTTCATAACAAATGTTTGAGATAAACACAGTTGGATGCAAAGGTTTGGGCAGCCTTGTTAACCTTCATTATTTTCCTTTATAAAATTGTTGGTTATTACGATAAAATTTTTAGTTAAATACATCATATAGGAGAGACACACAGTGATATTTGATAAATGAAAGAAAGTTAATAGGATTTAAATTGTGCAATAATTGTTTAAACAAAATTAGGCAGGTGCATAAATGCGGGCACCACAAAAAATAAATTCCTCCTTTTGCAGAAATAACAGCCTCTAAATGCAATGAGAGTCTGGATTCTGGTTGAAGGTATTTTGGACCATTCTTCTTTACAAAACATCTCTAGTTCATTCAGGTTTGATGCTTCTGAGCATGGACAGGTCTTCTTAACTCACACCACAGATTGTCTATAATATTCAGGTCTGGGGACCGAGATGGCCATTCCAGAACGTTCTACTTGTTCCTCTGCATGAACGCCTTAGCAGACTGTGAGCAGTGTTTAGGGTTGTTGACTTGTTGAAAGATCCAGCCCCGGTGCAGCTTCAGTGTTGTCATTGATACCTGGAGTCTCCACAATCTGATGATATTAAGTGGAATCCATGCATCCCTCAACATTAACAAGATTCCCAGACTCTGCACTGGCCACACAGCCCACAGCATGATGGAACCACCACCGTGTTTTACTGTAGGCAGCAGGTGTTTTTCTTGACATGCTGTGTTCTTTTTCCTCCATGCATAACATCCCTTGTTATGCACAAATGACTCAGTTTTAGTTTCATCAGTTCAACACCATCCATCCATCTTCTGGACCTGCTTAGTCCACGTAGGGTCGCAGGGGGGCTGGTGCCTATCTCCAGCAGTCAACGGGCACTTAGGCGGGGTACACCCTGGACAGAGAGCCAGTCCATCTCAAGGCAACACAGAGACACACAGGACAAACAACCATGCACACACACTCACACCTAAGGACAATTTAAACAGACCAATCAACCTAACAGTCATGTTTTTGGACTGTGGTAGGAAGCCGGAGTACCCGGAGAGAACCCACGCATGCACATGGAGAACATGCAAACTCCATGCAGAAAGATCCCAGGCAGGGAAGCGATTCCAGAACCTTCTTGCTGCAAGGCAACAGCTCTAACCACTGCGCCACTGCGCAGCCCTCAGTCCAACACCTTATTCTAAAATGAAGCTGGCTTGTCCAGATGTGCTTTAACAAACCTCAAGCAGCTCTGTTTGTGCTGTGAGTGGAGAAAAGGCTTCCTTTGCATCACTCTCACATACAGCACCTCCTTGTGTAAAGTAAGGAGAGTTTTCTGTATCCTTCCCCTAAAACATGATGGTGAACAATCTGTTTTCAGCTCATGTGAGTTGTTCTGAGACCCCACGTTGCTACTCCTCAAAGAATATTCAAAGATGAGGAAACTTACAATTGGCCCCTTAAATACTTTTTCTTAACAGTGCCCAAATGTATGCACCTGCCCAATTTTTTTTAAACAATTTTTGCACAATTTCTGTAAATCCTATAAACTTTGTTTCACTTCTCCAATATCACTGTGTGTGTCTCCTATATGATTCATTTAACTGAAATATTTTATCTTAATAACCAACGATTTATACTGGAAAATCATGAAAATTTACAAGGCTGCCCAGACTTTTGCATCCCACTGCATTTGGTGATCTCAGGCTGGCCTCTGCAGTTGAAATATTTAGTCAGAATAAAACAGACAGATGAATTTATTTTAACATTTATTTACAGAATCACCAGGAAATACGAGAGTGGCAAACAGCCCCTTGAGAATATTCACAACACTTTAGTTTTTATAGATCTGTCGATTTGTAATAAAACAAGCTAACCTTTGGTGAGTTTAAACATGTACACATACGTTCTTGGTTGCACTGATTGAAACAGTCCCAACAAGTTTGTGCAAATTAATTAAACTTATTTTTATTAATGTGCTTTTAAAAACATCAGTATGTAAAATCTTGTGTTTACTTAAGTACGACGTCAGACTTATAATTTTTATTAACATCTTTTTGCTTCTGAAAAAGATGAAAATAACACTGGAGCATTTCTTTAAGATCTTTTCCAAAGTCTTTTTAGTCTCATGTTTTCTATGCTTGTTCGTTCTGCTCTATGTTGACCACCAAGCCTTTAGTGTCCACAGGAGCTCGGTTTGGATTGTTGAAGTAGAGCTTGTTGTCAAACGTGCACTCTCCCAGGACAGGTGTGGGTATTTGTATTCGATTACGGAACAGGAAGAAGGCCCCAAGTCCAACTAAAGCAATTATAATTAACACTATAGCTACAGGGATGCCAGCAGATCCATGTGAAACCTCTTGAAAAACAGGAGCTAAGGAGACACAAGCAGAACTTCAACTTGAGACATGCCTTGGAATAAATTTGGTTTCATGTACATTTACTTACCAGCAGATGGAGCCTTTTCTGTGGGGTTTATAACTACAAAAATAATGCAAACAGCATAAGAAACTGTTGGGTCAATGAATCAATCAAACTTTTCTATATAAGACCTTCCACTTCTGTTATGGAAGCCCAAGGTGCTGAACAACACATATCCAAAATGACATGTCAAGAGATTAAAGAAGCATTAAAACTAATTAAGATGTGATCAAAAGGCATTAACACAAAAATTAAACATCATTAGTAAAATTAAGATATATTAAAAACAATTAAAATAAAAGTCAGATGCTAAAAATGGGTCTCAACGACCTACAATGATTGTGACTCATTGCAAAGAGTTGTAGACAGATAAAACCAGGAACCTACTTTTAGGTCTTTTGCAGATGTAAGATCTATATGTGGTGCAGTCGCTTGTGCTCCACTGTCCACTGTCAGAATGGATGGCGACACACATCTCTGACTTTGGAAACCCTGATTTCCAGTTTGTATAGTCCAAAATGCTGTTATCAATCCACATCCAATCACCTGAAACAAAGAAACAGGACTAAACTGAGTAAGACAGTAGCTACATTAAACTTCAGCTCAGAAAATGTACTCTCTTTATTCAAGTACAACAATTAAAGGTGTGGTTCACTGAAAACCTCTTTTTATGATTACTTCTGATTATAATCTGTCACTCTGAGTTTTTCATGCAGGCTGAACATGAAAACAGTCTCCTACACCTATTTCCTGTGTTAGCTTCTGATAGAAAATAGATGGTGAAACTCTAGGATTTGAAAAGCCCGTCCATTTGCATTACTTGGTTCTTTTAAAACATAGAAAAAAAGTTGTTTTTTATCTTGTTTTGCTAACATTTAGGCTAATTACTATAGCCATCCTCAGAACTACAACAAGCAAACAACAACAGAAAGAAAGAAAATCACAACAAAAACAAGAAACCAGAAATCCAGAAAAACAAGAATCAAAACCAGTGATAACTCTTCCTTACATCAAAGGCATCACAGAAAAAAATAATAGCGATAATGAAAAAACACAACATAAACACACCAACTAAACCCACACTTAACAGTTAGAAAAAGACTAGTACACCCAAAGGACAAGATATCAGCAGGACATAAATCAGTCAGAGTCATATACCAAATACAATGCAAACTGCAATAAAACATACATAGGAGAAACTGGATGGCAACTCAACACATGAACAATAGAACATAGAAAGGAATGTGAGAAGGAAACACAACCGAAGACACACAAGAGCAGCAAAACAAGAATCAGAAATCACAATAAAGAAATCAGCCGTAACAGACCACTGCACAAGAGAAAATCATTATATGGACTGAGACAAAACAAGGATCATAAACAACAAAAATACAAAAGCTGGATTAAAGAAGCCATAAAAATAAGGACACATGGACCCAGGACCATGAAGAGAGACGATGGAGTCTACACGTTAGATCACGCGTGGGACTGTCATTGAGGAGGAGGGTGCGGGCAGCAGTGGGCGACATCGTCCTCTAATGCCTGCAAATAAATGTAGGAGGTGGCTATAGTAATTAACCAAAGTGTTAGCAAAACAAGGTAAAGTACAACTATTTTTTCTGTTATTAAAGAACCAAGTAACGCAAGTTGACAAAATAACAGAAGCATGTCCACTCTGCGTCCCGCAGACACTTTGCAGAAACTTTTATTGCACCGATCTTGACTCACGATGGGGAAGGCTGTTGTTGTTTTAACGTCCGGGAATCAGCAGTGGATGTCTTGCCTAGTAGAAGCTAACCATTAGCATTGGCAACATCACCACACAGCAGAAGCTCCTCCAGGCTTATGTTATTTGTGAAGATAAAACATAAACTTTGCAAGTTAGTGGAAGAGTGTCATTGCTGTTATCCAATCCGAGGCAAGTTGTCCTAATATCAGGAAATAAGACTCCAAAACCTGCCGTCTGAAGCTCAGCTGTGATGTGAGCAACTTTTAGTTCCAAGAAATGGTGCACCGTTGTATTTTTTCCCCCTCGAGTATGACTTACAAGGCGTTCATTCCTACTAGAGACCACTGCAAGTACACTGATTAAATTAATGAACCACACCTTTAAAGGAGACATAAAATTATTTTTTTTACTAAGTCTTATCGTCCATACAAAGCGTGTTCATGATGTTCTTTGCACAAGATCAATCATACATAAGTGGTTGAAATGACTCGTTTAAATCAAATCAAATCACTTTTATTGTCACGTCACATGTGCAGGTACACTGGTACAGTACATGCGAGTGAAATTCTTGTGTGCGAGCTTCACAGCAACAGAGTTGTGCAAAAATACAGTAATGTAAAAACAAGTAAAATATAAAAATGGCTAATCTAAGTAATAATATGTATAAGTTGTAATGTATATACATTACTAAATGTTTATGCAAGTATATTATTTATTTATTTATTTTTTAATTTTTTTACTATTATTTATTTTTTATATATTGTTCTACGTGTGTGCGTGTGAGTGTGTTTGTGTGTGTATAGTGTGTATATACGTGTTTTACAAATGAATAAAGTAAACAATAAAATAAGAGATATAAAATATACAGAGGTTGGTTTGTGCAAAACAGTGCCATTAATGTACAGTATGAAGTGTGTAATGTTGGAGTTTCAGTAGTGAGGGTGAGGTGTCTGCGCCGTGTTCAGCAGTCTGATGGCCTGATGGAAAAAGCTGTCTCTCAGTCTGCTGGTTCTGGACCGGATGCTGCAGAACCTCCTTCCTGATGGAAGTAGTCTGAACAGTTTATGGCTGGGGTGACTTGAGTCCTTGATGATCCTCCCCGCTTTCCTCAGGCACCGCTTCCTGTAGATGTCTTGGAGGGAGGGAAGCTCACCTCCAATAATCCTTTCAGCACATCACACAACTCTCTGGAGAGCTTTGCGGTTGTAAGCAGTGCTGTTGCCATACCAGGTGGAGATGCATCCAGTGAGGATGCTCTCAATGGCACAGCGATAGAAGGTCCTGAGGATGCGGTGGCTCATGCCAAATCTTTTCAGAATTCTGAGAAAGAAGAGGCGCTGCTGTGCCTTCTTCACTGTATATTCCGTGTGCACTGACCACGTAAGATCCTCTGCCAGATGAACGCCAAGGAAACGGAAGCTGCTCACCCTCTCCACAGCGTCGCCGTTGATGGTGATGTCGGTGTGTATTCCTCTGCTCCTCCGGAAGTCCACTATCATCTCCTTTGTCTTTGTGACATTGAGGGTGAGACTGTTGTCCTGACACCAGTGGGTCAGGGCGCTGATCTCCTCCCTGTAGGCCGTCTCATCGTCGTTGGTGATGAGACCCACCACTGTGGCGTCGTCCGCATACTTCACAATGATATTGGAGTTTCTCGTGGCTGTGCAGTCGTAGGTGTAGAGTGAGTACAGGAGAGGGCTCAGCACACACCCCTGCGGAGCACCAGTGTTCAGTGTGACGGGGGATGAGGTGGTGCCGCCCAGTCTGACCACCTGGCGTCTGTCAGACAGAAAGTTAAGGATCCAGCTGCAGAGGGAGCTGCTCAGTCCTAGATCCTGCAGTTTCCTGTCCAGCTTCGAGGGAACAATGGTGTTGAATGCTGAGCGGTAATCTACAAACAGCATTCTCACATACGTGTCCCTCTTCTCCAGGTGTGACAGGGCAGTATGAAGTGTCAGGGCTATAGCATCATCAGTGGACCTATTGTGGCGGTATGCAAACTGTAGAGGGTCCAGTGAATCGGGCAGTGCAGAGCAGATGAAGTCCCTGACCAACTTCTCGAAGCATTTGCTCACGATGGGGGTCAGGGCTACAGGTCGCCAGTCATTCAATGTGGAGATGGTGGAGGATTTGGGTACAGGGACAATGGTGGCCATTTTGAAGCAGGCTGGGACTACAGACAGAGAGAGGGAAAGGTTGAAGATGTGTGTAAACACTCCAGCAAGCTGACCCGCGCATGACCTTAGGACGCGGCCGGGAATCCCGTCCGGACCAGTAGCTTTGCGTGCGTTCACCCTCCTGAAGCACCTCCGCACATCCTCTTCAGACACAGTGTGCGCACTGACGTCATCCGCGGTGCGCTCACTGTCCGGTCTCATGGTGTTCGCTGTGTCGAATCTGGCATAGAATGCGTTTAGATCCTCACACAGAGGCCGTGGTCTGCGGTGTGCTGGTTCTCCCTCTAAAGTCTGTGATTGTGTTTAGTCCCTGCCACATACTCTGGGGGTTGTCAAACTGTTGCTCCACCCTGTCTCTGTACTCACGTTTGGCTGCTTTGATCGTCTTCTGGAGTTGGTAATGTGCGTGTTTGTAGTCTGATGTGTTCGCGGAGGCAAAGGCGGTGTTCCGCGCCGCCAGCGCCATTCGCACACCTCCATTAATCCAGGGTTTTTGATTTGGGAAGGATTTAACTGTTCTGGATGGGACAACATCTTCCACGCATTTCCTGATAAATCCGCAGACTGAGTCTGTGTACTCATCAATGTCTCTAGCAGCCACGTGAAACATTTCCCAGTCCGCCCGATCAAAACAATCCTGCAGCGCAGACTCCGATTGGTCTGACCAACGATGCACCGCCCTCAAGGTTGGAGCTTCCAGTTTTAGCTTCTGTCTGTAGGCAGGTATAAGCAGGATGGAGCGGTGATCTGATTGGCCGAATGGGGCGCGGGGGAGGGCTTTGTACGCATCTCGGAAAGAGGTGTAGCAGTGGTCGAGTATCCGATCTCCACGTGTATTGAAATTGATGTGTTGGTGTAGTTTTGGTGAGACTTTCTTCAGGTTACCCTTATTAAAGTCCCCGATCGTAATAAACGCCGCCTCTGGGTGTACGGTTTCCTCATTGCTGATCGCGCTGTACAGTTCTCTGAGTGCTCGGTCAGTGTCAGGCTTGTGGGGGAATGTAAACAGCTGTAATAATCACTGCTGTGAATTCTCTCGGTAGCCAAAATGGCCGGCACTTAATCATCAGGTACTCAAGGTCCGGAGAGCAGAAGGATTTGACCTGGTGCACGTTCGCATAATCACACCAGCTGTTGTTGATCATGAAACACACACCGCCACCTCTGCTTTTCCCAGTAAGCTCCTGTGACCTGTCCGCGTGGTGCACGGAGAACCCCGGTAGTTGTACTGCGGTGTCCGGTACTTTGTCCGATAGCCAGGTTTCTATGAGGCAGATCGCGCTGCAGTCCCGCGTCTCTCGCTGGAATGAGATCCGAGCCCGAAGCTCGCACAGCTTGTTCTCCGGGGACTGCACATTAGCCAGTAGTAAACTGGGTAATGGTGGTCTGTTAGTGCGCCGTCTAAGTCGAACCAGAACGCCAGATCTTCTCCCTCTGCGTCGGCGCTTGCGGCCTCCACGGGCCCAGAACAAAGGCGTCTCAGGGGAGGTGAATGGGGGATCTGCAAACGGCGGGTCCGTGATGAAAGACCTGAACTCCGGGAATCAATGAGAAAATCTGTCTTTTATGTCCAGTAGGGTTTGTCGGTCGTACACAAGGATACATGTGCTACTCGTGAAAAAATAAAGAAAAAGAAAAAGTAGTAAACACAAAAAACAGCTGTTGCTTGGTGGAGCTCGCGACGAGCCAGCCATAATCGGTGCCATCTTGTCTCCTTGATTAGTCACAAAATTGATGTTTTGTCTTTGTTATTATTATTTTTTTCCAAATTAGGAGTGCCAATAGAGACAGTAGAGAACCACATGGCAGCTCAAAAGACTGTAAAACTGGAGTTTTGCATATGTCCTCTAAACTTCAATCCAGTATACTCACCATCATAGGACTTGTGCAGACCAATCCAGAAACTTTTTACACCGTCCTGCAGAATGTCCAGATTCTGTTGTATGAATCTCCCCTCAACAGGGTCCTCTATACTCACTAATGATGCACCTGGTAACCGCAGTGACACATTGTTACAGTTCATGCTAACAAAAATGTATCAATAAACCAGCAGTGTTCTTCACAAACATACCCATTCTTATACAAGAAACGGAGGCATAGGCCCAGTTTTCTGCCATTGAAAAAAAAAAGGCATAACAATGGCCTCTGAAAGGAATCCAGTTTCTATAACCCTTTGTCTCTGGACAGTTCCCAGGAAGTTGTGGTGGTTCAGTTGGAGCTACCTCTGAAATAAGAGAAAGACATCCCCCCCAGTGTCATGAACTATAAGTGAACCATGTGCATTATTTGTTCTAAAAGGCAAAAAAGTTACAAAGTGATTGCCTGACCTGGCGACCTTTTGCAAATAGAATAGTAGGTGCTGGTGCATGGCGCTGTCTTCCATGCTTGGTCCACGTCTATGTACACACAGCCATAGTTTCTTTTTGGCTCATTCTCACCCCATTTGGTAGACGTAAGAAGCCAGTTGTCAACCCACTTGAAGCGTCCTCCAGTCTGAAAAAGATACGAGTGACAATTTTATTATCGTAGAAACCTTTAGAGCTTGATGATCTTATTTAAAAGCAGATGAGTACCACATTGTTGTTGAGACCAATCCAAATTGGTTCTTTGTGCTTGGAAATCAGCAGAGTGATGAATGCCTGGCTCACAGGGTTCCGTATACTGGCCAGATCTGCATCATCTGCCTGGCACTCTCTTCGTGCTTCATCCCATCTCAATTTCTGGGTCACCAGCTTGTAGGAGTCATTGCCAATCTTGTGAAAGGTCTTTGATGACACAGTAGTGGCTGGTACTGCAATCTGGGAGTCTGAGAGGACAAGATTCTGGTACTTTAGTCAGTGTCTAAAGACCTAGTTGTAGTAAGGCAGTGAAAGAAAAAAAGAAAACATTTATGGTGGCATTAATAACAAACGAGCTATACCTGGCTAGCATTTATTGTAACATGCTTATCATAATGGAGCCTCCGAAGAAACAAAGAAAACATTTATCTGATGAAGCTAAAAAAAAGAGTATCTGACCACATTAGGTGTCAAACAAGAGTAAACATCAGGAGTTTTCTGAATCACTAGAGTTCAGACACACGAGTCCTGCTTGTTTTAGATCGTGAACACTGCTGACTGTGATGAACCGGTCCAGTAGAAACTGATGAAGGCTGAGGAGACATTTCAGCAGTTAAGATTAAAAGGGCTTTCCTCATGAGATGAGAGTGAGACACACGCATCTGACCCCTTCACATGCTCTCATGGACAATGGAGTGAGGTGAAATGAGTGTCCCCCCCTTGTTCACGAACAGCAGAGGGTGGTGAATACATGGGTCATCCACCCCCACTCTCCCACATGGAAAGCTGCAAAAGTTGGTAGCTCTGGATGAAAGCATGAAAACATGAGCACACAGGGAGGAGGAGAGTTTCAGGTTCGTTTTTACGACAGTGAATGCAATGTTTCGCTTTAAAAGAACACTCAGCAATTTTGGCTTGCTTTTAGTAGCCCCTGGAGTCAGTTTTAATTCACTGTTATAAAAATGATGCTGAACCTCTCTTTCCCACTGTCAGTTTGTGTTTTTAACATCTTAATCTAACAGCTTAAATGTCTCCTCAGCCTTTATTAGTTTCTACAGGAGCGATTCGTCACTAAATCAAACAAACCAGCTGTGTTCACAGTCTAAAGCATGGAGGAATTGTGCTGGAAGCAAACTCCAAAACTAGAATGTTGGCTAGCCACTTTACAATTGACTAACTGAGTAAATATGACAATGATCCTGTGAGGAGGAATCATATGACCACAGGGAAAGGCTGTAGCCTGTCGGCAAACCCAAACACGGAAGTATGAGCGTTGGGTGATCACAAACATTTTCGAAGACATTGATCAATATAAGATGTCCTTGGGCATGTTAGTCTACCAGCTACAAGTGGCTGGTTCATAGGACCATGGGCAAGACTGCTGGCCGGTGGCGTCAGCTGGCTGGCAGCACTGCTCAGCGGTAGCCAGGGTACATGTGGCACGCTTAGGATTCGACAATGTATGATAAAAGAACCTCGAGTAGAGATGAGAAAGCATCAACGAATGAGGTAAGAAGAGAGCTTATGTGGGTCTAGGGTGAGTGATTGATCAGTGATGGAACGGAATGTGGTCACTACCATCTGACAATCATATTTAGCAATAATTACAAACCCAGAGAAAGCTAAAACATGCACAGACAAAACATATTAAAGTTGTATTTTTAAGCACAATAGAATCATCATTAGGTTTGCATCCAATTTGAATCCTTATTTGTCTTTGGGCTCTCGCGATTCAGAAAACTTCTTCATTGACTCTTGTTTGACTCCTATTGTGATCAGATGTTTGTTTTATAGTTTGTTTTAGCTCCATAAGATTGACTCTTCTGAGGCGCCACCATGATAAACATATTACTATAAATACTATCCAGGTATACACAGACAGAGACTGAACAAGCTAGTTTAAAAAGGCTAGCTTGGTTCTAGGCTGCCAAGTAGATTCAGTTGAGGAGATGTGTAAAAGGAGGATGCTGGTGAAGATGACCTCCATCTTGGAATACCCCTCCCACCCACTGCATTCCACTTTGGAGACCATGGACAGCTCCTTCGGAGGCAGACTGAGACATCCCTGATGTAAAACAGAATGCTACCGTAGGTCATTCTTCCCCTCTGCAGTAAGAGTGTATAGTTCCTCCGTTTAATTGGTACTGGCGTTATCCTGGTACACAGTAACATCAATGCAATACTCAGTATGTGTTCAATAAATACCTGATTTTAGTATGTCTGTGTTCCTTATGCTGCATAGTTCTGGAAACCCAATTTTTCTTTGTATTTGTTGCTTTTAGTGGTTGAAGTTTATAATGACTCTATTACGCTTATTGCCTTTGTGCGTTTACCTGCAATCTTGTTATTATTTAAGTGATTCCATTTCTCTATATGTGGTGCTGGAGCAAGTGAATTTCACCACTGTGGGATTAATACATTCTATTCTATTCTCTAGCGCATATCAGTCCTGAGGTGTAAACATGGATTGCTGTAAAGCATTACTGCTTCACACAAGAAACTAAGTTCTCACCAACATTTTTTTTACAGATGAAGCCACGTTTTACAGCACAGTATTCCACCTTCCACTGTCCTTTAAGTTTATTGGTGCTCCCCACCATGATGACACAGTCAAACACCTGTCAAATACACCATTATTTAAACTTTAAAACTGGTTTACAATATGCAAAATTGGTCCTTCATAGTTTTTTTATTGATTAACCAGAAGGAGAAGACAAGAAAAAACAATAACCTCATTGAAATATGAGTTGGGATAGCCTTTAGCCCAGTTGGTGAATGTGATGGCTTTGCCGTTTGTCCACACAAAATGCATCTCCCGGTTGATATCATTCATGCCAATCCACACATCATCATTGTGATGTAACAACTGGGTTGTTAAGAATGCTGTAAAAAACACAAAAATTGTATTCGTTGTGTGAAATGTAATACATTTTCAAACAACAAAAATTGTGAACTTAATCAACAGTAACATGCATCAACATTGATAGTACGTTTGACCTTGCTCCATTTTGTTGGCTATGGACACCAGATTTCCTCCCTCTTGGACGCAATACGTCCTGGCATCCCACCAGTCCTTGTTATTGCCCGTAAATAATTTGTAGCACTATGTGAAGAAGAAAAATGTATTGTATTAGTTCCCAATGCCCATTAAAGTGTAGAGTATTTCAACACATTTTACTAAGTATAAGAACTGAAGCCAATCTAATCTTTTCTTGGTATTAGCCTTTGATAACGGTGACTAAAGTCACTCATCACTGACTGAGACAATAGGTCTGTTTCCACTATGACAACTTCCAGATAATTTTACCAAACTTTGTGGTAATGTATATTTCTTCATTTTACCTGACTGGCCTAAAGGCACAACTTTTCCTTTCAGGAGCCAAGTACCTCCCTGAAATAGGAAGCCCAAGTCACGTCTATCTATTTTATATCCTTGGATGTCAAAAAAAAATTAAACAGTAAATGGCCTGTATTTGAAATAGTGCCTTCTAGCATCCAGGAACCCCCCAAGGTGCTTTACCACACAATCAGTCATTCATCCATTCACACACATGTTCACACCCTGGTGTTGATGAGCTACATTGTAGCCACAGCTGGCCTGGGACATACTGGCAGAGGTGAGTCTGCCGTACACAGGAACCACCAGTCCCTCCGATCACCACCAGCAGGCAAGATGGGTTAAAGGTGGTTTTCCAGGAACGCTACTCAGCCTAAAACAGCTCTGTACAGAGTGGTTTAAATCAGTCCATCTGAGTATAGTTTTGTTCCCATGCTAGCTCCATGACTGAAAGTGGATGCGCCCCTCATAGGTGCAGAGGGAGGGGGAGGGGGGGGGGGGGGGGGATTTTTCTCGTGACAAAATAACATGAGGTGATCAGTAAACAGTGTAAGGTAACTTGTATGCTCCACAGAAACACAACTGAGCTGAAAAGTGTTGCTGTTGCTGGACATTTTGCTCAGTTTTATGGTTTTTTGTCACACTCTGAACCAGGAAATGGCTGCAGGCAGAGAAACAGAAAGCAAAAAACTCTGGAGCAACCAGTGACTCTGCCCCCTAGCCAGTCAGCAGCCATAATTACGTTGCCCGCCCTACTCAGCCTTACCAGGTCAACGGAGCAGGGACTTAAAATAGGGGACAAAGTAGAGGGAAAATACCGAACCGTGCCCTTGGAAACAGTGGTCGGGTCGAGCTGCATCGGTCCAAGTTGCTCTGAGTAGCGTTCCTGGAAAACCACCTTTAGTGTCCCGCTCAAGGACACAACAACAGCGACAGACTGAGTGGAGCTTAAACCAGCAACCTTCCAATTACGGTGGACCACTTAACTCTTTTACCAGCATCGTCCCATGAATGAAAGAATAGGATAAAGGTTATTTTCTAATCCTGTTTGACATGTGCCACATGTTTCACATACACTGTATGGCAAAGAAAACGGGGTCACCACCTTGTTTTAACTAACTAAATAGGTACGGGCCTCCTATTGGATAATTACTGCATGGATGATTATCTTTCAGCAGTTATTTAACCCTGACTGGTACAATGAGTTGTTTCTCATTTCTTAAACAACCATGCGGAAAGACACATCTGGTGGCTGTGGAAAAGATGGTCTGTTTGAGAAGAGTCAGATCACTGGCATGCATCAAGCAGAGAGAACATCTAAGGAGATTGCAAAAACTACTGATGTTGGGTTAAGAACTGTCCAACTCAGTATTACAACCTGGAAATATAGTGTAAGTATAGTGAGTACGCAAGTACATTTTAGTGGAAACCTATCGTCTTTGAGGAAGAAAAGTGTCGAGAAAAAACCCTGAATGATTGTGATTGGTGATCACTTAAACGTTTGAAATCAAATAGAAGACAAATCAACAGTAGAACTCAGGGCTATGTTTAATTGTGAAGTAAGAGCATTTCTACACGCACAATGTGAAGGGAACCAAAGGGATTGGGACACATCTGTGTAGCCGTAAGAAAACTGCTGATCAGTGAGGCAAACCAGAAAAGGCTTCAATTAGCTAGGGAGCATAAAGATTGGACACTGGAGCAATGGAAGAAGGTCATGTGGTCTGATGAGTCCAAATGGACCCTGTTCCAGAGTGATGGGTGCATCATGCCTAATGCCTACAGTACAAGCCTGTGGGGACAGTGCCATGATCTGGGGTTGCTGCAGTTGATCAGGTCTAGGTTCAGCAACAGAATGTGCTCCAAGAACTACGTGAGTTCAGATTTTAGAATCTGAGTCCAGATTAGTAAAACTTGGTTTTAAAGTATCAAAAATTAATTGGTCATAAAAATAGGCATGCTGTGCTTGGTGTCCGTCTTTGCTGGATGTTTTTGTGTATTACCTTTCGTTGGAAGGAAACCCACTCAGGTGAACATCCTCCTTGAGGGACTGTTGTTGGTGCCATAGTTGTGTTGACAAAATTGTTGCTTCTTTTGCAGATAAAGGGAATCTCTGCACCACAGTTAATGTCGTTCCAGAACCCTAAAGTGTAGTTTAGTTATTAGTTAATACCTACAAAAACAACTGATTATCATAAGTTTCTGTATTAGACCCACCCATGCTCTTGTACATAGTCACACAATTTTCTTCATTGTTGGCAAAGTTGGGCTCATTGCGTTCCCAAGCAGTGTAAGTCACTGGTGTCCCATCCAGCCAACTAGAAATAAGAAAACCTTACAATTTCTACTATGCACACAGACTTGATTGAGACCAAATGCCAGAGGTGTGACACTGTGGCATCATCGAGTCATCTCCATGTCATGTTTTTGTTCTGCTCAGCAATTAAACCAGGTGATTTCAATCAGCACAGTGAATTAACCTGGTTCAGTTGCTGAGCAGAACAAGAACATGGAGATGACTTGATGATGCCACAATGTCACACTTCTGCCAAATACTGAAGACCAATATTCTGAGTTTTTCACTTTAATAATCCTGTTTGACTTACCTGAAAGATTTATCCAGATTCACAATCATGCCAATGTAGTACTGGTTTTCTGCACCTTTGGCTATCTGTATGGACATAAACACAATGGGCTTTACATTTGTTAAAACCCACATGTTAACCATTTGTACCAGTGGGCTTTGGTGTATGAATAGATGCAACATCATTTTGACCTAGTCTGTTTTATAATGAAATGTATTTCTCACTTGTTTCCAGAGGAACCTCCTCTCACTTTCTCCTGTTATGACTGCAAGTTCACCAAAGTTTTTTTTGCAGTAGGTTCTGGCAGCTTCCATTGGTAAGGTGTCAGTATTGATGAGGTAATGACTGTCGTTGTATATGAGCCATCCATCTTCTGTGGTGTTGTACTCTGCAAGGAGAATAAACAGCTGACAGGAAGTCATAACCTATGGGGGGTGAGGGCGGCTCAGGGGTCAGGAGTTTGCCCTGTAATTGGTGGGTTGCCAGCTCAAACCCAGGCTCTGTCAGTATCAGTCGTTGTGTCCTTGCCTGGTGAAAGTGGCTCCTATGTTCGGCAGCGTTGTCTCTGTCAGTGTGCCCCAGTGTAGATGTGGCTGTATTGTAGCCCATCATCACTTGTGCTTGAATGTGGGCGTGAGTGGGTGAATGACTGACTGTATGGTCCTTGCCTTGTTGTGTAAAGCATTTTGGAGTCCTCTGACTGAGCCAAGGCCTATACAAGTCATTTGTCATTAACTATGCCAACGGCTGTCTGGTGTTGAAGTTGGGAACAACATCATAATTGGTAAAATGCTAACACCAGACATTTTTTATTCTCTTCTTGTCTCAGTATTATAGTGGAAAATCATTCAGACCATCACTGAAACCTACCTTCAACAACCAAGGCAGGCTCAGGTTTGGGTGTAACTCCTGAAAACACAAAAACCGTCATCGTTACCAACTCAAACAGAAATTCATAGTATGTATAAATCACCTCAGTTTGTGGAATTCATTGAGGTTTTACCTTTGCGTATCTGGCAAATCCAGTCATTATAGACCTCACAGTGCCGATCATTCCAGTGACGTCCGTAGAAGGCCTGGACTTCTGCACAATGTTCATTGTCATTGTGGTTGTTTGGTTCTCCGAAGCCCCAATTTTGATAGCCAAACTAGGTCAGAGATTTAGGAAAAGCACATAGTAATGCTTAAGTTTAAAACAAGAAATCAGCAACTTAGGACATTATTTGTGGATTAAAATCAGATGACGCTTACGTTTGAATCATCACTCCAGGCATAACCTTCATTGGTACCCTTTAGTTTGGCACCTATCCATGCTGGGTCAGACATTTGGTATCTTTAAGAAAGTAGAAAACACAAAATCACCTAATTTCAGTTACAATGCCTGATAGTAGCTTTGACATATGGAAGATGTTAATGGAAGTAAGCATACGCTAAATATTCCAGGTCCAGCAAACTGTGTATACTCATCAGGTGTCCACCCATGGCCTTGCAGAAGTCTTCTGCTTCCTGCCAAGTCTTCTTGTGTTCTTTCATCTCCCTGTAAAGCTTTTTGATGAATGCGGAAAAAAGGTATTTTTCAGGTTTATAAAACAGTATGCATATCAATTGAAAGCAGTCTGTCCTCCTACTTTGTAGCAGACATTCCTTTTGGCAGCAGGGGTCCATGTAGATGGACAGTTCTGAGCTGGGGTGGTTGGAGGAACTGTGGTTACCGGGGCCCCCTCTGCCAGCTTCTTACAAATATACTTCTGCTTGTTGTTGCAGCTGATAACATCCCATAATCCTGCAAAAATCCCAGTGGTCATGGCAACACATCCCTGTTTCCTGCCTTTAGTTGAACATGTAAAGAAAGAGAGTAAAAAGCACAATACATTAAATAAACTCATTAATGAAGAAGTGAACCACAGTATTTTTGAAGCTGTAGCTAACAGGAGGGATGTTTGCTTTACCTGGCATGCCCACGTTGAAATGAGTGAAGGTGACTTTTCTCATGGTTGTCCATTTGAAAGTATGTATGTCTTCCACGTTGGACAAACCTGTCCAGAAATACTTTTCTGGTCTCAGTCCTACCAAACTGATGAGGAAAGCGTTCTCAAATCTGAACAAAAATAAAGCCTTTGGTTTATTCCTGAGGTCGTTCATTTGTTGTCATTTGCAGCCGTTGGTTTGTAGAAAACTGATGTAAACCCTTTAACTCTTTACCTATCATTGATGTCCAATAGGTTGGCACCAGCCACTGAGCATGCCTGCTTCGCCTCTTCAAAGGTTTTTGTTTCAGCTCCTATGTTATAACAATAGGAGCCAAATCGGACAGAACCCTGTAAAAACAAACCACTGTGAACTTCTGAAGCTGATACAGTTTTTATGTTATAGTCCAGTGTTATCAACAGGAAAACAATAACTCACAAGCTTGCATCCTGGGTTGACTTCCTGCTGGGCACCTTCAGATGGTTTAACAGAGGCCTTCTTCTTACAAATGTACCCATACGTCTTCTCACACATCTGGTCCGCCCACTTTCCGTCCTGTTTGAGAGAAATTAGGGAAATTAGAAAAGTAGAGCAGCTGAATTTTTTTGACATTTGAACAACGATGGACGTTACTTTTCCCCGGATGAGGACACAGTCTTCCAGGAAGCTGTTATCATGGGATGGCTCGTCACTCTGCCACTGGGTGAAGGTGACGTGGGAGTGATCGGACCATTCAAAAAGCATCTGGTTCTTCTGGTCGTTCAGGCCGATCCAAAGCACATCTGTCTGTACTGAGATGTAAATAATGCAGATGAAAATAAAATGGTTCATCTTTATTCCTACAATAACATTTTCAATTTGTTTTCCTCCTCAACATTTGTTTTCTTTTATTGATCTCAGCATTTCAACTTTATTCAGAAACTAATATTTTTTACATTCTTTTCATCACTTTTACCCCATGTCTCTAATTTTTGGAATAGCATTTGGACTTTTCTTTGGAAATATTATATGGACACTTTTCCTCTACACATTTTCAAATGTTGTCTCATATTTGTTTGGAAATAACTATTTGAAATTTTTAGGGTTAGGGATTTTTTCGGAAACAGATAAATAGCTGTAAAATCTACCGATAAAGCCAGGGAAAGGTTCCGGTACGCTGAGATGTATGCCAATTTAAAAGTATCGCACCACATAAAGAGTTGGCTCCTCCCATATTTCTGTCACAGTGGCCTATTGCAAGACACCAAACCTTGAAACTATAATTCATAGAGAAATTAGCAAACAGAAAACTAGCAAATAATGAAAAGCAATAATTGAACTCCACAGAGGGTCAATGGCATTTTAACTACATACAAAGATAGTTTAAAATAAAGAAACCCTGGTATGTTCGATTGTGGGAATTCGTGTGCTTACGGTAACCAGACTGGGATATGATGAAGCTCTGCTCCTCTATATTGTGTATACTGGCCAAATCTGCTCCATCCTTGTGGCACGCAGCCAAAGCATCCTTCCACATCTTCTTAGTCCTCTCCAGGTAGTAACAGTCTCCTCCATAAGGAACCCAGTGACTGGGACAGAAGCTGGGTCCTTTACCTCCAGGAACAAAATCAGTTAACTATGACCATGACTTTAACGATTAACCAGATTCTTTGCATTTCAAGTGTGAAACTTACTTGGTGGTAGAGGCAATCTGGTTGAGTTTCCTTTCCGACAAATGTAACCAATTCTTTTGTCGCAGGACTTGCTCTCCCATTTTGATGCTTTTGCAGCATTTAGAGCTGCACAGGTGAGCCCAGGTGCTGAGGAGGGATGGCCTGTTGGATTCGTGTAGAACATCTTAACTTCATTTTCTCCTGTGCTAATCAAACATATCATATACTAATGTCCTCACTAACCAGGAGCCCAGTTTAAATATCTGAATGGGTTCCCGTTGCTCCACTGCCACCCGCTCTCAAAATCCAAGCTGTTCAGCCCGATCCAGAGAGAAATTCCCAAATGATTCGTCAACCCTGAATGAACACAAGCATTAAGGAGAAGATCAAATTCAGAAGCATCGTTTATGTAGATGGCAGAAAGTCAGCTCGCTTGTTACCTGAAATGAACGACTGTTCATGGAGCTCTACGATGCTGAGGAGGTCAGCTCCCTGCTGCTGGCAGCTCCTCCGGGCCTGAGACCAGGTCAGAGCTGCTTGTGAGTTCATCTGATACTGAACTCCAGTGACTGGGTCTGTGTTCCAGCCAGTCGATGCTAAAGAATACATAGGATTTACATCCAGTGACACTACATGGTCCTTTTTAACAGCAGACATGTATTTTTTTGATGTAAACTATGTAGGAATTAGAGGTTGAAAAGTTATGTTGCACATACTTTTGGTTGCACAAAACCCCCACTTCTTCTCTTTGTCGTAATCTCTTGTTGTTGCACACCACATCTGTCCATCTGAGCGGCCATCCTTTGTGCATTCAGCGTACCATTTCTCCTGGTACCTAAAGGGGAACTGACAAGGTCTTCCGAATGCGTTCCCCCCAATAGTGAAAACCTCTGAGGAGACAGATTTACAGATGGAAAGAATCATCACAGTTCGTAGGACATTTCCACCTTCATCTTTTGCTTTTATATAGCTTTGCTTTAATTTGACTTCCAGGCTAGTTTTTTACTTTCCCAGCAGATCCTTTTCAGAAATCTTGGAAAGTAAAAAAAAAATCAAGAAAGTAGTCTTCATTCTGTTTGTCACTGAAAATAAAGTAAATTTACTATCAGATTGATTCTAAAAGACCTAATTAAATATTAAATACCTTTTAATTAATGTAGAAACATCTTAAAACATTTCCAGATTTGGAAAAACCGAAGGGTCCTCCAGTTTAGCAACCACTGCAGAAGCATAATTCAATTTGTTTATTGCAGACGCAAGACACCTACCTTGATACCCCTTTGAACAAAGGTCCCCCTGAGAGCCAAAAATCCTCCAGCGACTCCACACCCCCGAGCCTTTATAGATCATTACATTTTTCTCTTTACGGTTGCCATAGTTTAGGTGCAGGTCCTGGTCTTTAAGACCAAAAAGGGTCTCGTTCTTGCATTGCCAGTGCTGAAGAACACTGCTCTCGTTGCACTCGAAGAGGAGAACCTTCACCCAGTCTTTAATCTCTGCGGCGCCCAGACACAATTTGAGGGACAGGCTGAGAAGGCGAGACTCAGAGGCCCAGCGAAACTGCTGCTCCTTGGCGTGGGGATCACATTGATCCAGAGTTACCGATGTGGCGCCCTCTGCTTTTATGCACTTGTTGTGGTCCTGATTGAAGATGAGGAAGATGCCATTGTCTGGAGAAGAACACAACCAAAGTAATGTACATCACCATTGGAGTAGGAATGTGCTTAAGACACTTACCTATGTCAGCAGAGATGGAGACAAGTTGCAGGAGACAAAGAACCAATGGAAGTTCTGACCTGGATAACATCCTCAGAGTGTTGTTTAGACTTAGTTTGAAGATATTTTTCAGTAATGAGAGTATGGGACTGGTGTGTGCAGAGGTGCACAACAGAGAGCAGTAATGACACAAAGTCATGGTGTTTCTCTCCTCTTAACTACAGTGATGGATATCCTGTCACATGGTTAGCTGTGGTTGGTTGGATGTCTACAACTTCCAAGAGCTTTCACTACACTTTTTGGGGAAGAGGAGGAACGACGATTTCACCTCCAAGTCATAAAAGTCAGCTTAGGGTGTTTGGTGGGGGGGAATCCAGAGAAACACAGAAATTTGAGGAGAAATTTCTAAATAACTTTATCGAAGCACTTTTTTCCAGGTTTAAAAATGTTATCAATACGTTATCTGAGATAAACCCAGAAAGCTTACATCATTCAACAAGAACTTTTGTTGTCTTAAAATGTAGCTGTGAGGAGATTAGACAGGATTTTTTTTCCAGGACCTGCTCTCAAAACGTGCACCGGGCTCCAGGTTAAGATTAAAATTATTTAAGTCAGTAGGCAGAGAGCTGGAGGAAATCCTGCTTCCTACTGGAGGAAGTGAGTGAAGACCTGACCACTGTCACATTACAGCTGCAGAAAAGCTCCATCTTTGACAAGATCTCCAAAATATATATATTTTTGGGCCTTCAACGCTTTTACATCACCCTGCATCCATGGTCTCTAGGGAATCGCTTTACTGGTGAAGAATAAAGGCACATTTAAAAACATTGATATTTATAAAGCTTTCAACCATCAACCTCTCATTGTTGAGCTTAAATGCTTTGCAGAATCCGTCTGTAAGAGCGGATGTTAGCCGATCTAGAAGGATTTCTGAGTCGCTGCTACTGAACCAGGTTTCTGCTAAAACTAATACCTAATTTTTAGAATGAAATGATGCATTTTAGACCTTAGACATTTGATTATTTTAAGTGTAAAATGCAGATTTTTTTAAATGTGGGGGTAAGCAGTTTGTTTGAATTAGTCATTTTTCAACTTAATAAAAAATATTACAGTACAGAGAAATTGCGTCTTCTGAAGAGTTTTCAGTGGGATGGGAATGTTCTAGAATGACAGGAAACTGTTGTTCCTGGGAGTAGTTTGGAAGAAATGGGATAAATTCCAGTATAACGGTTTTAGTAGAGGTAAAAAATATATATATATATCCACACAAAATTACATTTTCAAAAGAAAAGATTCTTTATTATATAGATATATTTTTTTTAGCAAAATAAACATATCATCAATAAAAATGAGCAGTGTTCTAATCAAGTTAACTTAGCAAAAATAAAAAAAAATATCTCACAAACAACATGGATTTATTATTTTACATATTCACTGAACTTTATAATGGTAGAATAAATGTGCAATTAATGTTAAAGTGATATCACAGGTTTATTCTCAAAGTGCCATTTCTGTTGAGGGTATTTAAAGATAACATTTGTACATAAACATAATGGAAAGTAACGCAAATGTCATTTAACACATACGTTCAATTAGCTAAGAGCTCCTAGTCGGCTTGGGAAAATAATGTTATGTGTTTAAAGATCTTGTAGTTTTTTTTTCTTTTGCAAATTCAAATTTGGTTATATTTCACCGGAAAGCTTTAGTAGTAGTAAGTTAGATCTAAAATGCTTTAATTATTTTGAAAATGAATGTTGGAAATTCTAGGCCTGTTTAAATTGTTTTCATTTATTAATTTTGTAAATTTAAAAATAAAAACACAATCAGAATTTGACATTTTATCATTTTAGGAGGATTTCATAACAAATGTTTGAGATAAACACAGTTGGATGCAAAGGTTTGGGCAGCCTTGTTAACCTTCATTATTTTCCTTTATAAAACTGTTGGTTATTACGATAAAATTTTTAGTTAAATACATCATATAGGAGAGACACACAGTGATATTTGATAAATGAAAGAAAGTTAATAGGATTTAAATTGTGCAATAATTGTTTAAACAAAATTAGGCAGGTGCATAAATGCGGGCACCACAAAAAATAAATTCCTCCTTTTGCAGAAATAACAGCCTCTAAATGCAATGAGAGTCTGGATTCTGGTTGAAGGTATTTTGGACCATTCTTCTTTACAAAACATCTCTAGTTCATTCAGGTTTGATGCTTCTGAGCATGGACAGGTCTTCTTTACTCACACCACAGATTGTCTATAATATTCAGGTCTGGGGACCGAGATGGCCATTCCAGAACGTTCTACTTGTTCCTCTGCATGAACGCCTTAGCAGACTGTGAGCAGTGTTTAGGGTTGTTGACTTGTTGAAAGATCCAGCCCCGGTGCAGCTTCAGTGTTGTCATTGATACCTGGAGTCTCCACAATCTGATGATATTAAGTGGAATCCATGCATCCCTAAACATTAACAAGATTCCCAGACTCTGCACTGGCCACACAGCCCACAGCATGATGGAACCACCACCGTGTTTTACTGTAGGCAGCAGGTGTTTTTCTTGACATGCTGTGTTCTTTTTCCTCCATGCATAACATCCCTTGTTATGCCCAAATGACTCAGTTTTAGTTTCATCAGTTCAACACCATCCATCCATCTTCTGGACCTGCTTAGTCCACGTAGGGTCGCAGGGGGGCTGGTGCCTATCTCCAGCAGTCAACGGGCAATTAGGCGGGGTACACCCTGGACAGAGAGCCAGTCCATCTCAAGGCAACACAGAGACACACAGGACAAACAACCATGCACACACACTCACACCTAAGGACAATTTAGACAGACCAATCAACCTAACAGTCATGTTTTTGGACTGTGGGAGGAAGCCGGAGTACCCGGAGAGAACCCACGCATGCACATGGAGAACATGCAAACTCCATGCAGAAAGATCCCAGGCAGGGAAGCGATTCCAGAACCTTCTTGCTGCAAGGCAACAGCTCTAACCACTGCGCCACTGCGCAGCCCTCAGTCCAACACCTTATTCTAAAATGAAGCTGGCTTGTCCAGATGTGCTTTAACAAACCTCAAGCAGCTCTGTTTGTGCTGTGAGTGGAGAAAAGGCTTCCTTTGCATCACTCTCACATACAGCACCTCCTTGTGTAAAGTAAGGAGAGTTTTCTGTATCCTTCCCCTAAAACATGATGGTGAACAATCGGTTTTCAGCTCATGTGAGTTGTTCTGAGACCCCACGTTGCTACTCCTCAAAGAATATTCAAAGATGAGGAAACTTACAATTGGCCCCTTAAATACTTTTTCTTAACAGTGCCCAAATGTATGCACCTGCCCAATTTTTTTTAAACAATTTTTGCACAATTTCTGTAAATCCTATAAACTTTGTTTCACTTCTCCAATATCACTGTGTGTGTCTCCTATATGATTCATTTAACTGAAATATTTTATCTTAATAACCAACGATTTATACTGGAAAATCATGAAAATTTACAAGGCTGCCCAGACTTTTGCATCCCACTGCATTTGGTGATCTCAGGCTGGCCTCTGCAGTTGAAATATTTAGTCAGAATAAAACAGACAGATGAATTTATTTTAACATTTATTTACAGAATCACCAGGAAATACGAGAGTGGCAAACAGCCCCTTGAGAATATTCACAACACTTTAGTTTTTATAGATCTGTCGATTTGTAATAAAACAAGCTAACCTTTGGTGAGTTTAAACATGTACACATACGTTCTTGGTTGCACTGATTGAAACAGTCCCAACAAGTTTGTGCAAATTAATTAAACTTATTTTTATTAATGTGCTTTTAAAAACATCAGTATGTAAAATCTTGTGTTTACTTAAGTACGACGTCAGACTTATAATTTTTATTAACATCTTTTTGCTTCTGAAAAAGATGAAAATAACACTGGAGCATTTCTTTAAGATCTTTTCCAAAGTCTTTTTAGTCTCATGTTTTCTGTGCTTGTTCGTTCTGCTCTATGTTGACCACCAAGCCTTTAGTGTCCACAGGAGCTCGGTTTGGATTGTTGAAGTAGAGCTTGTTGTCAAACGTGCACTCTCCCAGGACAGGTGTGGGTATTTGTATTCGATTACGGAACAGGAAGAAGGCCCCAAGTCCAACTAAAGCAATTATAATTAACACTATAGCTACAGGGATGCCAGCAGATCCATGTGAAACCTCTTGAAAAACAGGAGCTAAGGAGACACAAGCAGAACTTCAACTTGAGACATGCCTTGGAATAAATTTGGTTTCATGTACATTTACTTACCAGCAGATGGAGCCTTTTCTGTGGGGTTTATAACTACAAAAATAATGCAAACAGCATAAGAAACTGTTGGGTCAATGAATCAATCAAACTTTTCTATATAAGACCTTCCACTTCCGTTATGGAAGCCCAAGGTGCTGAACAACACATATCCAAAATGACATGTCAAGAGATTAAAGAAGCATTAAAACTAATTAAGATGTGATCAAAAGGCATTAACACAAAAATTAAACATCATTAGTAAAATTAAGATATATTAAAAACAATTAAAATTAAAGCTGCAAGCAGCGTCGTTCGGCCCTCGCAGCTCCGCGCCGCTCCGGCCTGGCCGACAGCCCGGGGCACCAGGGCACGTCTGGCAGAACAGAAACGTCAACCGCCCCGACACTAGAAACCGCAAATGGCCTCCTAGTCCGCACCTCACCCTTACTCAGCATCCCCTCTGAGCTCACCATTAAATTGAATTGTAAGGGTGCGGCGTTACGCCAGAATTCGCCATGGCATCAAAGCCCTTCCCTTTCTGGAAAGCTATCAGATCTGAATGGTCAATACAGCATCATGAAGACAGTGCATGACCTTGGTGTCTTGTTGACTAAATTAGAGGGGACAAATATGGGCATTTCAGCATAAAAAAATAGACTTCCTGTGGTCAGGGGGCGGGGCTTAGGTGATGTCAGCTGTCCACATTGTCATTTTTTACAGATATGGTCAATGATCACACAGACAAAGTTTGAAAAAGATCTGATCTTGCACATGGGAGTTATTAAGTCAAGTAAAGTAATGGCGAAAGGTCAAAGTTTGAGACTTAGCCACGCCCACACCTTTCAACTTTTGAAAAATGCGACGGTTGAATTTTTTCCCCTACGTCTTAAGAGTATATAGTAGAAGTTTGAAAGTGATTGGTGAAAAGGGCGACGGAGCATCACTCTCCAAACAACGTGTGCGAAAACCACTAAATCGCGTACTTGGACCAAAATGGCTGACTTCCTGTGCGACTTTACGCTTGGCTCCAAGAGACTTTTTTGTAGGTCCTGAGACCCCACATTAGTGTACCAAATTTCGTAATCTTCAGTCAAAGCATGGCTTGGGGCTATTAGTTTAAATGGTCCTAGGGGGCGCTATTTAAGAAAATAGGCCACGCCCACAAATTTCAGCTATGTTTGTCTCTTGGGGGTCAGACAAGGATCACTTACAAGAAGTTTCGTAGCGCTATCACAATAACTGAAGAAATGAGAGGCAAACGTATTTCCATGGCGTGATGGTGATTTTCGCCATGCTGCCAAAGCCCCGCCTTTACTCGAAACCTGCCAGTACTGGATACCAAGTGACCTCAAGTTGTCTACTGCTATTTGCCAGAGATTATTGGTGATTGGGTAAAAGGAGTCCAATAGGAAGCTGTGAAAAAAAGAGTGGCGTGGCGAAAGGTCAAAGTTTGAGGCTTAGCCACGCCCACACCTTTCAACTTTTGAAAAATCCGACGGTTGAATTTTTTCCCCGATGACTTAAGAGCATATGGCAGAAGTTTGAAGGAGATTGGTGAAAAGGACGACGGAGCATCACTCTCCAAACAACGTGTGCGAAAACCACTAAATCGCGTACTTGGACCAAAATGGCCGACTTCCTGTACGACTTTGCACTTGGGTCCAAGAGACTTTTTTGTAGGTCCTGAGACACCACATTAGTGTACCAAATTTCGTAATCCTCAGTCAAAGCATGGCTTGGGGCTGACAGTTTTAATGGTCCTAGGGGGCGCTATTTCAGAAAATAGGCCACGCCCACCGGATGTTCACATCAGTTCTTTTGAGGGGCCGGACTAGGATCACTCACAAGAAGTTTCGTGACGATATTTTTAGAAATGACGAAATGGGAGGCAAACGTAAGGCCACGGCGGTACGCCTGACTTCGCCGCGCCGCCACAGCCCCGCCCTCTGTCGAAAACACCCATAAAGTGACGCCAAGCAACCCCCACTTGTCTTGAGTTAACAGTTACAAATTTGTGGGGATTGAGTGAAATGGGGCCATTTGGGACCTTTCATAGTAAAACTTGACCTTTTTGGTCCTGAGGGGGCGGGGCTTGTGTGATGTCATCATCCGACCATTCATTTTACTTTGTGGGAGGATGACAAATGACCACAGAAAGTTTGGTAACTCTATTCCATTCAATTATGAAGTTATAGCAGTTATAATTTTTTTGGCGAGTAGTCAAACTTCGAGGCCTGGCCCCGCCCCTTCAGCATATACGAAAACTCAGAATCCTTGTCTCATTTTGTTCGGCCATTTCTTCTGAGCAATTTTATACCATTTTTGAGACGATCGTGCGAAAATTGATCGAGCAATCCAATCAGAGACTGACCCTAAAAACGGCAAAAATGGCCAAAAATCGCCATTTCATCCCAAAATGGCCGACTTCCTGTTTGATATTGACCATGCTTGCAAGAGACTTTTCTGTGCGGACTGTTGAGTACTACAAGTGTACCAAATTTCATAACTGTACGATAAACTAAGCTTTATGGAGAGGGGTTTTTTTCACTTTGTAGGGGGCGCTGTTCAGCCATTTTCTTTGCGATTTTTTTGGGACCTTTAAAATATCAAATTTTTCACCAGGCCTGACAATTGTGCAAAATATTGTGAGTTTTGGGGTATGTTAAGGTCCCCAAAAAGCCATTCATTTCGCGCACGGAATAATAAATAATAATAATAATTAAAGCTGCAAGCAGCGTCGTTCGGCCCTCGCAGCTCCGCGCCGCTCCGGCCTGGCCGACAGCCCGGGGCACCAGGGCACGTCTGGCAGAACAGAAACGTCAACCGCCCCGACACTAGAAACCGCAAATGGCCTCCTAGTCCGCACCTCACCCTTACTCAGCATCCCCTCTGAGCTCACCATTAAATTGAATTGTAAGGGTGCGGCGTTACGCCAGAATTCGCCATGGCATCAAAGCCCTTCCCTTTCTGGAAAGCTATCAGATCTGAATGGTCAATACAGCATCATGAAGACAGTGCATGACCTTGGTGTCTTGTTGACTAAATTAGAGGGGACAAATATGGGCATTTCAGCATAAAAAAATAGACTTCCTGTGGTCAGGGGGCGGGGCTTAGGTGATGTCAGCTGTCCACATTGTCATTTTTTACAGATATGGTCAATGATCACACAGACAAAGTTTGAAAAAGATCTGATCTTGCACATGGGAGTTATTAAGTCAAGTAAAGTAATGGCGAAAGGTCAAAGTTTGAGACTTAGCCACGCCCACACCTTTCAACTTTTGAAAAATGCGACGGTTGAATTTTTTCCCCTACGTCTTAAGAGTATATAGTAGAAGTTTGAAAGTGATTGGTGAAAAGGGCGACGGAGCATCACTCTCCAAACAACGTGTGCGAAAACCACTAAATCGCGTACTTGGACCAAAATGGCTGACTTCCTGTGCGACTTTACGCTTGGCTCCAAGAGACTTTTTTGTAGGTCCTGAGACCCCACATTAGTGTACCAAATTTCGTAATCTTCAGTCAAAGCATGGCTTGGGGCTATTAGTTTAAATGGTCCTAGGGGGCGCTATTTAAGAAAATAGGCCACGCCCACAAATTTCAGCTATGTTTGTCTCTTGGGGGTCAGACAAGGATCACTTACAAGAAGTTTCGTAGCGCTATCACAATAACTGAAGAAATGAGAGGCAAACGTATTTCCATGGCGTGATGGTGATTTTCGCCATGCTGCCAAAGCCCCGCCTTTACTCGAAACCTGCCAGTACTGGATACCAAGTGACCTCAAGTTGTCTACTGCTATTTGCCAGAGATTATTGGTGATTGGGTAAAAGGAGTCCAATAGGAAGCTGTGAAAAAAAGAGTGGCGTGGCGAAAGGTCAAAGTTTGAGGCTTAGCCACGCCCACACCTTTCAACTTTTGAAAAATCCGACGGTTGAATTTTTTCCCCGATGACTTAAGAGCATATGGCAGAAGTTTGAAGGAGATTGGTGAAAAGGACGACGGAGCATCACTCTCCAAACAACGTGTGCGAAAACCACTAAATCGCGTACTTGGACCAAAATGGCCGACTTCCTGTACGACTTTGCACTTGGGTCCAAGAGACTTTTTTGTAGGTCCTGAGACACCACATTAGTGTACCAAATTTCGTAATCCTCAGTCAAAGCATGGCTTGGGGCTGACAGTTTTAATGGTCCTAGGGGGCGCTATTTCAGAAAATAGGCCACGCCCACCGGATGTTCACATCAGTTCTTTTGAGGGGCCGGACTAGGATCACTCACAAGAAGTTTCGTGACGATATTTTTAGAAATGACGAAATGGGAGGCAAACGTAAGGCCACGGCGGTACGCCTGACTTCGCCGCGCCGCCACAGCCCCGCCCTCTGTCGAAAACTCCCATAAAGTGACGCCAAGCAACCCCCACTTGTCTTGAGTTAACAGTTACAAATTTGTGGGGATTGAGTGAAATGGGGCCATTTGGGACCTTTCATAGTAAAACTTGACCTTTTTGGTCCTGAGGGGGCGGGGCTTGTGTGATGTCATCATCCGACCATTCATTTTACTTTGTGGGAGGATGACAAATGACCACAGAAAGTTTGGTAACTCTATTCCATTCAATTATGAAGTTATAGCAGTTATAATTTTTTTGGCGAGTAGTCAAACTTCGAGGCCTGGCCCCGCCCCTTCAGCATATACGAAAACTCAGAATCCTTGTCTCATTTTGTTCGGCCATTTCTTCTGAGCAATTTTATACCATTTTTGAGACGATCGTGCGAAAATTGATCGAGCAATCCAATCAGAGACTGACCCTAAAAACGGCAAAAATGGCCAAAAATCGCCATTTCATCCCAAAATGGCCGACTTCCTGTTTGATATTGACCATGCTTGCAAGAGACTTTTCTGTGCGGACTGTTGAGTACTACAAGTGTACCAAATTTCATAACTGTACGATAAACTAAGCTTTATGGAGAGGGTTTTTTTTCACTTTGTAGGGGGCGCTGTTCAGCCATTTTCTTTGCGATTTTTTTGGGACCTTTAAAATATCAAATTTTTCACCAGGCCTGACAATTGTGCAAAATATTGTGAGTTTTGGGGTATGTTAAGGTCCCCAAAAAGCCATTCATTTCGCGCACGGAATAATAAATAATAATTAAAGCTGCAAGCAGCGTCGTTCGGCCCTCGCAGCTCCGCGCCGCTCCGGCCTGGCCGGCAGCCCGGGGCACCAGGGCACGTCCGCAGAACACAAACGTCGACCACCCCAACACCAGAAACTGCTAACGGC